TTAATATATTAAAGAAAATTTTAGTAATTAAAAATTATGAAAGAGAAATTAAAAGAGAGAAAAAAAAATTCTTACGAAGCCCCAAATATGTAACTATCAATATAATTTTATTTTACTGTTATAAATCACAGCTGAACTTCATTTTTTTTTTCTAATTTCCTTAAAAAAATAAAGTAATAAGATTAATTAGTTTGACCGTCCTCATTAAAAAGAAATATTAACAGATAACTTTCCCGTTTAAAAATGACTGCGTCGCTGAAAAGAAAATTATCGCGTCGGTATTAAGCTAAACTTAAGTCGGTTAATCGGTAACACGTACCACTATATAACTTTCTCTCCTAATCACCCAAACAGAAGAAGAAACCGATTTACCTTTTCCTGTTTGTTCCCTTCAATTCGAGAACTTCATGGCTGACAGCGCCGCAGACTCCGCCACGCCCACCAATGCTGCCGCCGAGGTGCCACCGTTACAAGAAACCAAAAAGGCCACCGAGGCTTCAACACGATGGGCCGATATAGAAGACGATGCTCCGGAGGAACCGAGCGCTTCCTCAACATCGGAAGAAAGAGGCGCGCCGGAACTCGACGTAGAAAACCTAGCAATCGACGAGAATAAAAAGATCAACAAGTTCCTGGACGAACCTGAGGACTCCAACATCAAAGCCGTATATATCCCTGAACCCAAAAACTTTAGCTTTTTCTTCATAGTTTGACTGAGATTTATGGTTTTGACCTTTGTAAGGTTTTGTTTATTTTTAGGTTACATCAGGGGATACACCATATACGTCAGCATTTACATTTGAGGAATTGAAGTTGTCACCAGAATTATTGAAGGGGTTATATGTTGAAATGAAATTTGAAAAGCCTAGTAAAATTCAAGCTATTAGTTTACCAATGATTTTGACTCCCCCTTTCATGGATTTAATTGCTCAAGCTCATAATGGTTCTGGAAAAACCACTTGTTTTACACTTGGAATGCTATCTCGTGTTGATCCGAATATAAAAGCTCCTCAAGCACTTTGCATTTGTCCCACAAGAGAATTGGCTATTCAGGTTAAGTTTTTGGAATTTTGAATTTTCGAGGTTTTAATGAAATTTGGCTTGTGATTTTGGTTTTGATTATAGAATTTGCGTTCTTTTTTTTTTTTTTTCTCTCTTTTTTGCAGAATTTGGAAGTGCTTCGGAAGATGGGGAAGCATACTGGGATAACTTCAGAATGTGCTATTCCGATGGATAGTTCTAATTATATTTCAATTAATAAACGGTCGCCTGTTACAGCCCAAGTAGTTATTGGTACTCCTGGCACTATTAAGAAGTGGATGTCCGCGAAGAAATTGGGTATGAGTTATGTGAAGATTCTTGTGTTTGATGAAGCTGATCACATGCTGGCTGAGGTAACCTTTGCTTTGCTGGTTTATTTGCTTGTTGTTTTGATGGAATTTAGAATTTACAGTTCTCTTGTTTTCAGTATTAGGAAATAAAAAAAAATTTGTTGCAACTTAAAATTATAAGTAATGTTGTTTCTTGTGGAACATTTTTTAACTTTATTTCTCTATGTATGAACTTGTGACTACCTTAGTTTGGTTGGGTGAGCTGTATAGGTATATATGATAATGTTTTATACGTGTTTATTAGTGAAGCATTTTATGCATGTGAGGAGGCATATCGGGACTTATCTTTCTAGTGGTATGTAGTATTTATAGCTGTCTTAGCTATTGGTTTGCATCTTACAGATTGATTTTTCACAGCCAGCGGTTAACTTTTTTGGATTTAAGAAGTGTTCAGAATTTTTACAATAATTCTTTGTCTGTTATTCATCTTATTGGCACAGAAATGCAGGATCCCCAAAGCATGATGACAAGAATAGGGTTCAAGTAATAATGGGACGGGTGATAAAACCATTTAAATTAGGTGAATGTAGGATTAATGTGCCATTAAATGATTTTGTTTTCTCTTTGCTATCAAGAATTCCAAAAAACTTTGTTTATCGTATTCATTGAGAAGGACTGGAAATGTGTGTTTGCGAGAGAGCATTGAGAAGGAGTGGAATGATTTTGCTTGTAGACGATTGATTTTGGAAGGAAGGGCATTGTTTTAACTATGTAGTGCATTTATATGATCTAATGGTTTGAGTAAATTCCATGCTTAGAGGAATGTGTTGTTGATTATTGATTTGCTTATGTACATTTCTTTGCTGCAGGATGGATTTAAAGACGACTCCTTGAGAATAATGAGGGATATTGAAAGGATGAGTTCTCACTGCCAGGTTTGTATTAAAGATGCCTTGTAAAGTTATTTGGATCTAGGATGTGGTATGTCAACCTTTTTTTATATACTGTCTTAACATTTTTTTATCTAGAGATCGTTGGAAAAATGTTACTTATAGTATCGTTGGAAAGATAGTACACTTGATGAATATTTTCTATATGGTATCTTAACATTTCTTTATCTTGATATTGTTGGAAAAATGCTACATATAGTTTATCAATTTGGATGAATCAAGTGCCTAATAACATTGGAAAATGACATAATAGTGGTGGTCTTAGGTACGGGTAAAAAGAACACTATACTTGGAAACTTTTCAGAATGAAGCGAGACATAAATAATAAACTAATTATTCTGCTAGTTGGCTAGATTTCCATTTTTTTGAAGAATGCTTGTGCATTGAAATTTGCTAACATCTTGATGCCAATGGGCTTGAATATGTATCTTTTTGTCTATAAAGGGCTAGTCTATATGGGTAAGAAAGCAGGGTTATCCTCGCAACTTAGTTGCATGCTTGGTATTGGAGAACAATGACTGACTGAATGCTTGGTTTTGAATCAATTTCAAGGTTCTCCTGTTTTCTGCCACATTTAATGATACAGTCAAGAATTTTGTATCAAAGATAGTTAAGAGAGATCACAATCAACTATTTGTCAAGAAGGAAGAACTATCGTTGGAGTCAGTGAAGCAGTACAAGGTGAATGTTCCAGATGAACTTTCCAAGGTTATGGTGATTAAAGAGAGAATTTTTGAATTTGGAGAGCGCCTAGGGCAGACGATAATATTTGTACGCACAAGGCATAGTGCAAGCATGTTGCATAAGTCACTTGTCGATCTTGGTTACGATGTTACCACAATTCAGGGTGCTCTCAAGCAGGAGGACCGAGACAAGATTGTCAAAGAGTTTAAAGATGGTTTGACTCAAGTCCTCATTTCAACTGACCTTCTTGCCCGGGGTTTTGACCAGCAACAGGTATCTCTTCCCCTTATTCCTGAGTTGTCCGGTTGTGTACAAGGTATGTCATCCTTTTATTGTATCTTTCTGCAGGTTAATTTGGTCATCAATTATGATCTTCCTGTGAAACATGACAATCGAATGGAGCCTGATTGTGAGGTTTACTTGCATAGAATTGGCAGAGCTGGGCGTTTTGGTCGCAAAGGTAGGTTTCTGAATCAAAATGTGATAAATGCTGGAATTGAGCCCCATTTCCATTCCTCATTATGAGTGTTAATTCTTGCTTGTTGAGGCCTGACAAACCTGACCGGTAGCTAGATATAGAGTTGTTAGCATGATTATAATTTGAGCACTTGGATGTATTAGTGATAACTCAACTTGTTTTTGGTTCAAGCAGCAACCAATTGTTTGGGGAGGGTTTTCACTTTATGCTGTTTTATGAACATTCATGGAAGCGTAAATTATTGAGAGCTATTGCTATCTGATTTACAGGAGCTGTGTTCAACATGCTCTGTGGCGATATGGACCAAATGATAATGTCCAAAATCGAAAATCATTTTGGCACCAAAGTAGCAGAGGTAAGCACTCCATTATCTATGGTTGTTTTTCTTTTTATACTTTTTCATCCAATTGCTTTTAACATGTTATCTTGGACGCAGGTTCCTAACTGGAGGAATGAGGAAGACTTTAAAGCTGCTCTCAGATCAGCTGGTTTATTGTAAACGAACCTTCCTGTCAAAACTGTCATGGTAAAAGGCTAGAGAAACCAGCAGATTGTGCTTTTATTCTGTTATATGCTCTACTGTTTGGAAAAATGAATTTGTTTGATTTGATTTCTTGATCTCCTGTTTTATGAAGTTGCTATATGAGAATCTTTCAACTGATAAAAGGAAAATAAATTATTTGCGGTCTTAAATTTGTAAGCTACATGGGAGAATTTTGATGAGTTCATTGCATCCAAATCATAGTTTCAGTTTTATGTTTTGAAACTAAAGATTGTAATTTTCCAATGGATTCTTAGATCAAGTTCATGAGGCTTTTATTAAAAATGATCAAATTATTAAAAAAATGAAAGTAATACTCGAACTGAAAGTTGAACTGTCCAAATTGCTAAGAGCCAAGTTCTGAGTCTTGGATTATGTTCATACTTAAATCACCATTGAGCATAACAAGGTTTTGAAAATTTTCTGTTTTTAAAGAAAGAGGGAAATGAGGAGACAATTGGTCATGGCAATTCTCATCGACATGGTAACTTTAAAATTAAGATCCTAATTGTTGGAGAAGCCAAACCAAGAACTCTTATCTCATATGATACCAAGTTTATAATTTGTGTTTAGTAAGTGGTGGATGAAGAATTGTGAATTAAGCATAATAAAAAAAAATCACAATTCATTGTTAAGGGTTTTTAATATTTTTGGCCAATATAAGGTTTTTTAATTCACAATTATAAAAAAAATTATGTTACAGCTTTTTGAGGGTCAAATCATGTTAACCTGTTTGTCCAAAAAAAGAAAATACCATTAAAGCGAAATTATGACTTCAGTTTGGTACTTCTAAGAAAATAAGAGTCATATACGTTCCTTATGTATAAAACTTTCTTTCTTTTTTAATCTTATAATAATTTTAATTTTTTTTTTATATATAGAAGTTGTAGTTTGAGAGAAATAAAGAAGTCGAAGTGTTAAAATTTAAAATTAAAATTATTAGATATTATCTTTTAAAAATAATTTTATAAATTAATTAAATTAAAATTTAAATTCGTATAACTTAGATTTTTAACCTCTTAACCTCTTATTCATACATGAAATGGTGTACTAACCATAAGGAAGACCAATAACTACAGAAAAATTTTATTATTGGGGGGATCATGCATATATTAATTAAAAAATAGGCAGTTCTACCTATATATCATGAATTAAACAATTCTTCCTCAAAATATATCTTTATTTAGGCATCTGACTTGAAAAATATATATAAACTATGCACATAACATAAGATAACGAAAAAAGGAGTGCACGTCTCAAGTAGTGCTCTTCCACCCCTGCCCCTAATTCAGGACACCTTCACCATCTTCCTTGTATTATATACGGTGCTTCTTCTAAGGCAAATATGTCCAAAGAAGAAGAGTCGAAATCGTAAAAGATGGCTACGATGGTGTTGATGTTAATTGCAGCCTCGGTTTTGATGGGATGCACCACTAATCAAGCAGGAGCCACCTTGGCTCCTGGCCTCCAAGTTATAAATCTTGGTGGGAAAGTCTTGTGCCAGGACTGCACCAAGGGCTATGGGGAATGGGCCCAAGGCACCCAACCTATCAAAGGTAGGTTGGAATATCGATCAATGTTAATTTCCTTTTTATTTCTTTTCTAACATAATGTTTGAATATATTTTCTTCAATAAATTTCATCTTTCATCCATTCATCAATATACCAATAAATATTTTGAACAATTTTAACTATATATATATATATATCCATTCAAGCATCGATTAACAAATTTTTATTCAAATTCTAACAGCATATTAATTGATTAATGAATTTGAAATAAATTCAAAAACTTTCAAATTTTTTAAATCGGATTGAAATTAAAGCATTATGAATAACTCAAGGATAATTAATGAATGATTTGCAGGTTGCAAGTTATCAGTAACATGCATGGATGACAGGAGCAGGATCATGTACTATGGAAGTGATGAAACCGACGAGCAAGGGCAATTCAACATGGTTGTAAACAAATACATCAATGGCAAAGAATTGCAACCAAAATCATGCTTGGTTAGGCTGGTTTCGTCCCCTCATCCAACATGCAACATTCCCACCAACTTCGCTGGAGGACAAACTGGAGTGAAACTCCCCATTAGGCCTACTGTTCTCTACCGTGATTTGGTTCAATATCAACTTGGCACCTTTTTCTACACTACCCCAAGGTGTGATAAACCAGCTGCTGGCACCGATCAGTCCTTGGAATGCAATGGAAACAATAATTACTAATTACTTGTTTTTGGGGAGAATCAAACTTCCATTCTTCCTCTCTTTGTTTTCTCAAAATTCACTGACATTTTTTTAATGCATAAATAATATTTTTAATTGAAATTCAGGTTTAATTTGTTACTATTTCTGAATCAATATCAGACTTTTGTTAATGATATTTATATTAATATTTCATGAAATATTTTAATTTTGTTAATTTTAATAAAAAATTCAATGGAATTAAAATTACATTTACAGAATTTATCATTTGGAGTAATCTGCTAAATATTCCAGTTTCATTATTTTATTGTTAAGAATTAATTAAATTGATAATATAATATCATTTGGAGTATCAAAGTCCAACTTTAATTCTTCTTGCCTTATATTATTTTTATATTTTAATAGCAGAAAATTATATTACACTAAAAATGATGTCAGCTGACCCAAAAATATATTTTTTTATAGAAATGAATAAAAGAAAATTTTTATGTTCATTTAATTTGCAGTGGCATTAGCTGAAATTGCCACGTGGCAAAACCTTAATCTGTCGTGTATCTACTTACCAAAAATATAATTGAAATCCTAATTATGAGGAGCAATTAGCTAGAACCCTCCACAGCTGTGCTTCACCCATGGCCACTCGGCTTGCGAGAAAGCTGCTTGCATCGTCGTCGTTGGTTTCTTCGTCGTCTTTGATTACTAGATCAACGGTAGAGATCTCATCTCCGTTGGTTAGCCATGGCGGGTCCAGACTCAGGTGGTCCTCTTCTTCCTCTTCGTCCTCAGCACCAACAGCTTCTAATTCTTCATCGTCGAAGCGCGAGAAAAAGATAACCGACCGTTTATCAGCCGTGATAGACGCCGTCAACGATCGTAAACTTCCTCCCGAGCTACGTGGCCAACGCAACGCCGTCAGGTCTGAATAATTCGATTTTGTGTATCTTCATAGTTTCACTTTACCTCGTTTTGACATCAACTACAATATTATATAAAAAATTCAAAATTTTAGTTAAATAATGAAAATTTTTCATATTTAGTCTCAATTATTTTCAATTCTTCATGATTCTTTCGTACAATTCACATCGCTGGCAAGAGCCTCTTCGATTTGGGCATTGAAGGTGACCTGATATTCCTTGTAGAAATGGATCTGGTCCTGTTTCTATGTGCTAGTTGTCACTTGACTTCAACTTAAACCTCCCATTTTTGTTGGCTTATTGGTACTATGATTGATCTGGTTGTTTTCTTATATTGGCTTCATTTTGGGGTCTGCTTGGGTTTAATGGGGTTGGCTTCCTTTGTTTTGGGACCTTAAAAACTGTTGATTTTGGTGTGTGATTTTTGCTTTTGAAAAAGAGGTGGCTATGGTATTAATTCTACCATTGTTAATTTAGAGGAAAACTTTGGAATAGACGCGTGCGGATGCATTATACATACTTATTTCAATGATTCACATTCAGGGTAGAAAACTTTAATGGTTTCAAAAGTCTTTCCAATTTGATATCCACCTTTTTAGAGCAATGTCATGGTTGGGTTCTTTGCTGAGATAAAATCTGTCATGTAATTGTTTTGGACAGGTCAGAAACCGACATTATCAATGTAGTCGAGCAAAGAATATGGCATTCAATGGAAGAGGGTCAGTTTGAGAATTTACCAGGAAAAGGCAAACCTCTTAACCTTGACACAAATCCTCATGCAGATCCAGCAGAAGACACCCTCTATAGGATTCTCTCAAAGAATGGATGTGCACCCGAGTGGGTTGAACTTAACAAAGAGATCAGGAGTAAAGTATCCGAATGGCGAGTTGCCTTAAAGATAGCATGGACAAGCAAATGCAATGGAGATCATGTCGAATGGATCGAGCGTTGTGAAGCACTAAAGATGCAACTGCGTGACATTAATGATAAGGTAACCCCTTAATGCATTGTGTTATTCTCTGTATTTGGTTACTAATGTGTCCCAAAGTAAATGAAAATGGTATTTGGATTGCAGGTTTTCCGGTATAATCTGATTGTTCCTTTTGGCCGGCAGATGTTTGGACTGAAATGGGAAAAAGAAGTAGCTCGCCTAGAAGAATAATTGGAGTCTCCATATCTCCTAGTCTTATGTTTTCTCTTACAATCTTTTTGCTAGTCATAGATATATGCATATTTGTTGGTTTGATACAAAAGTAGTAAGGCATATCATAACTGCCAAATTTGGGTTCTGATTATCTCAATAAATATTATAGAAATGTAGTAATACAAATGTAAATATATGCACATCTTCCCATCTCGCTAAACTGCCAAATTCATTTTGTCATTTTAAAGTATATATGATTCTTCTCAATCTAGCTGGAGGCTGAATGAAGGATCGAATTGAACACAATAAAACTACAAGGATTTAATCGATCGGAAAAAGTTCCAAGGTTTTATTCGGCTTTTCGCCTAAAACAAAGTGAGAATATATGAATTTCATACACCAAGAACAAGCAACAGCCTCTCACTAATAAGGTATACAATGGATAACTATCTCCAGGTTTTCTCATCATCCAAATGGAGATGTTTTAGCTGCAAGATGAATGAGAGCTCGCCGGTGGTAAGTAGTTCGGAGCTTCTTGTACTTTTGAACAAAAGTCCCTATGTCTATCTCCTTGTCAAGGAGCTGCCTGTGCACAATTTCTGATTCCTTTTCTGTCTCATTCATTGCATCTGCAAAGAAGAACACACTATCCTTAATTTCTATGTATCAATGATCTCAACCCTCGAACTTAGGAATATATAATCAGTAATAAGTACCTTGAAGCCTATTGATAAATGATGCGGGGGAGTAGAACTTCAAAATCTCTTCTTTCTGTTTCTCAAGCTCATTTAGTTTTTCCTGAGCTGCAGCCAGTTCAGTTGTTCGGATAATTCTGCACTGTGAAAGGAAAAGAAGAAAAAAACAAGGTTTTACAATTGATATACTGACATTAATTAATGGAAAATAGAAATAAGACAGTTCTGAAAATCTCACCTGGTTTCTTAGCTCAATTATTCGTGGTTCTTTATCCACATTGTTCCCTGTTTAGTTAGAAAATATAAATTAGCATTCGTCTCCAGTTGCACATTTCTATCTATGAAATTCATGACACTATCAGAACTATGTTGGAATAAGAACTCACTAGCAAGCTGCAAAGTCTCCTTGCGAAGTTCATCTCTTATCTGGTGAAAGTTATCAAGAAAGAGTAAGAAACCACCGAAATGATGAAATACGCAATAATGACAAACATGGTTTTCTCGTTGCATGCATGTGTTGTTAAATCCAATGGAATTCCAACTTCAGATAGCTAAGAGAGTAATCACATCATAATACCAACAAGGAATTGAAACAGTAACTGCAATTTACATTAAGATAGAACACAGAACAAGGTCATAGTTTATGATGAGTAGTGCTCCTATTTAAAAGCACATCTGAATGAATGAAACAAGGGTGAACCAAAAAGATCCAGCTAACAGAATTTGACAGGCTAGCCAACAGAACCATGAGGTCATCTTTGCCTCAGTACTTGGAGTTGAGTCTTACTTTCCATGTCTTTTAAATGGTCCTAATAACAACCATTGTGGACTAATCCTTTTTAAACAGGAACGTGGTCCCACTACCGAAACAATCAAAACTCTATGAGACCCTAGCTACTTACTACTATGTACCTGTGGGCAACCAATAATGGCCTATCTTTATAGCCCCTATAGTATCAGCATTTGGGGGTTGGGATACATGACAAGGCAACACCAGCACACAAAAACTAGTATTATGAGTCAATAATCTGAATAGCCCTTATCCTCTAAACATTTTGATTTTGGGGTCCGCAATAGACAATCAATCTCGACAAACTGACTGGTTAACCAAAAATCTTTGTTTATGCTATGGCCTAAAAGCCAAACCATCAGGCTATTTGAGACCACAGGGGAAAACCACAAACCATGAACATGACAAATGGTGCAAAAGGACAGACAACATGCAAAATTCTTACTTTGAAAAGGTGAATTCAAATAAACTAGAGCAAATTTTGCTACTCACATTGTTTTGGATTTTAACCTGGTCAACTGATAGTAAAAACTGATTGTATGCATCCTTGTCAGACAAAAGCTTCCGTAATTCATCAACACTAAGAAAATAAGAAAGTGATTAGGAGTCAAGATACATTCTTAAGAAAAACAAGCACTCTTCCTTCAACAATTTCCCAACATTTTCTTAAGCCACAAATGCAAATAATCAAAACTGAAAAATGAAAATTAATAAAAGAGAATAATTCATTAGTAAAGCAAAAAAATAATATGGAATTAGAAATTTAAATGTTTGTCACAAGAGGAAAAGAAGATTGCTTTGCCAATAGCATGATGAAGTGCAAGAACCAGACGTCTCACCTTTTGTCCTTTAAAAGAGCAATGATTCCTGCAGCTTCAGGAGGTGAAACAGGTGAGGAAGAATGTGGCCGTTCTGCAGGCTTCTGTAAGTTGAAGCTGTTAGAAGCACTGCCACTAGGAGTCATAGGTCGGGAAGAACTAGGAGAGCTGACAGAAGGAGGATACCAAGAATGTGAAGAACCCTCTTGCGGACGTGGCTGAGCTTGTTGCTCCTGTGAACCCCTGCAACATTGTCAAAATTTTAGTGAAACCAAAATAAACTTCACAAATTATATGTGAGTGGAAAGATAAATAACTCCAAATAAAGATACCAAGATCACGTTTAACCGTGGACCATTATTGTATGAGTACAACTACAACGCAACTTTATGTACCCACGCAACTTTTTAAAATGATATAATTTCCAAAGCATTTGTCAGTGTTACCCCATTGAAATCCATCATAAGGTGTATAAATTGCTGGTGAATATTAAAAGAACTAGGTAATAGCACCAACAATACAAGAAACATGTCTACACTTGAGACTTGCCCTAACATGTTAAGCAATTAGGAGATGCTCATCCTTAAATCCAACTTCATGAAAATAAATATTAGCAACTAAAATCCCACGTTATGCTTATTTAAAACTGCTAATGCAAGTTTCATTTCTGTCATGCATTTGTTCTATATTTCAAACAACAAACGAAGGGAAGAAGATTGAACGCTTTTGGTTTAGTTAAATTTCTCATCCAACTAAAACAAGTTTTATACTATAAAAATAAAATGACCCAACTGTCCTTTAGCATAAATTTTGGTCTTTTAGATAATCAAACAGCCTTTCAATGCCCAAAAAAATTGTAAATGGTGATTCTAAATATACAATATACATTAAAATTCTAAGGAAATGGGGAATAACTCACAAGTTAACCCTAAAAATCAAACAAACCCGCAATTATATGAATTTCAAAGAAACTTTGAACAAAGTTTAAACAAAGTCACAAATCTATGTGAAATTAATCAAAATTCACAACAATTGAAAAAATCAGCATGGAAAAAAAAAAAAAAAACAACAAAATTAGAATCTGGATATCGAAATTCAAAACTTTAAAAACAGAAGCGAATAAGTTGAACTCAACCATCCAAATAAATCAAAAGGAAATTAAACAAAAGTGATTAAAGAAAGAAAAATACCAGAACTTGAACATTGCTCCGAAAAGGGAGGGTTCTTGATCGTTGGATAATCAATCAACCCAATCAGTCGAAACCCAAAAAATGAAACAGAAAAAAACCTTGATTGATTGAATCTTCCACGAAGACGAAGAAGAAGTGAATTGTTTCTTACAGAGTAAGGAAATATTATTTCGATTTTTTTATTTTAATTTTAATTTTTTTAATTTGGGTTTGAGAGATTATATTATTTATTTATTTATTTATAATGGTGTAAAATCAAGGGAAGATCAGACTTTTGTTTTTAAAACCATTTTGGTTACACGTGGATGTTTTTTATTGGTTTTGGACACGCGTCAGTAGACGAGGCTCTGCAATGAAGTAACCGGGAAAATACAGGTAAACTTCCTTCAACGGGACCGTTTTCTCCTTTCATTTTCACTAGTTCTAAAATTGAAACGGAATTTCCTCGATCTTACATCGACATTAATGAGCGAAATTTCCTCGATTATTCCATACGATTAACAAATATTTTCTTCGACCTTTTTTTAAAAAAAATTCTTTTAGATATTTAAAAATTAGTTTTTTTAACAGTTAAATCTTTTATTTTTTTATATTTAAAATTATTTTGGAATTAAATTTATGCAACATTGATTTATAAAAAAATAAAAATTTAATATTATATATACTAAAATCATTTTCTTAATTTCATAAAAATTAATGAAAGAGTTTATTTCTTCCATCTCATTATTAGTTTTAAATTCAGTGTTTTTATCAAATATTTTTAAGTTTAATTTTTTTTATAAATCATTATTAATATTATTTTAAATATAAAATTTTCTTTTAATTTTTAAACTATATTTATTAAATTAATTCAAGCAAATATTCAGAATATACTAATAACTAATTTTGATGGTTTTCATATTTTCATTTATTTATAGGCATATTTAAACCAGTTGCTTCCTCTTTAACACATTTGTTGAACGAAAATGGCTACGTCTTTTACAGGGCCTAGATACCAATATGGGCATTAGGTCCAATCGACCAAAATTATATCAGAGGCCTCACTGCAAAGCCTTTATCCAATTTAAACCTGGTAACCGACAAAATTTGATGAAGGAATTCCATTGCTGTGTACTACTATTTTTTATTTTTATTTATTTCTTTAAATTTCCGGATCTATTAAAATTAAAAGTTAAAAAAATTTTAAGTATATTTATTTACATTGAATTTAATGAATTTATAAAAAATTATTTTTTTTAATTACTCAACGAATTTGAATAAATAAAAAATGAACAAACCCTCTAATAACTTAAACCAACATTCAATGCTATATATTTTATAATGAAATTTCTTAAAAGAAAATTTTTTTTAGAAGATTCTAATTTTTTTTTTCACTTTTTCTATTGAAATACAAATCACAAATATCTTCAAATAATATGCTGATTTATGTCAATTTTGGGTATGCCCACCTAGGTACCTATTGATGTAAACATCTGAACCACTCGAACATGTTAGTTGGTGGAAATTAATATTTCCTATGGATACTATTCCCAATTTCCCATGCTTGCCTTGGGACTTTCCTAGCTCCTATATTTAAATAATGTATTTAAATTTGTTTTGGATTAGATTGTTTACGTATGTAGTACTAATTTTGATTAAATAAACAAAGGGGAATAATCTAAATGATGGTTGAGAAACAAGCTTTTTATATAATATGATTGACTTTAGTTCCTAATTACTAGTTTATAAAAAAAAAGATAGTTAATCCAACTAACAAAGAGAATAGTTTATAACAAATATAAGAATTTATTGCTCGATATTATTTTTTTAATTCTTAATTTACTCTTAAACTTTTTTATTTAATTATATATTTGACTGAAGAGAATATTATGTGCTTAAATTTTTTTGTATTCATAATTTTTAAATGTAAATTTCAGTAATATATCAATTGATTTAAAAAATAATCAACTATTACTTAATTTTATTAGTAAATGGTAGTTTGATAGTAAGGTGTAATTGCCAATTGAAGAATAATAAATAATATTTTAATGCATTAAAATATATACTTATAAGAGAAAAAAATTTTTTTAATCAAATAGATTCGATTTTTGTGAAAAGCATTTCATATATAAAATTATGAGTATAATAAATTAGCATGGGAGAACATGCTCTTATAATTTTATAAGAGAGAAGATTAAACCTAAGCAAAGCATGTGATCTCTCTCACCCCCATTATAAAAATTATGCAAATTAATTAAACTTGTGACATTGATCTCTTTTATTCCAAAATTGGAATTCAGACCCTCTAAATTGAAACCTTAACTGCTAACAGTTGGGAAATTATCAGTTAAACAGCAGCTGTTTACTGGTTATAGTTCCCATGACAAAGGAAACGGAATGCTGAAAAGAAAGAGACTACAAATGGTGGTGACATTCGAGCAGAAAAAAAACCAATCATTGAAATCGAAAAGCAGAGAGGGCATTGCCATGGATAATCACAAAATTTTGTCATAGACACTGTTATTTACCTTTTTAAACTCAGGAGACATTAAAGTTTTATAAAAATTATCAACGCATGTTTAAAACTATTAGATACGATACATTTTATTTTAATTTAAAAGATTAAATAATTTATTTATCTTCAAATTTTATCTTACAAAGAAAAAAATTATCGACATGATAATCAATTTATCGTTCATTCAAATGAATTTTAAGATAATATGATAATGGTCCATCAAATTAAACATCGAAATTCTCATATTTACTCCTTTTTCATGCTGATTAATGGAGACACACCAGGGGTTCACCTCGTTTACCTAATTTTCTATTATGTGGTTAATGAAAACAAAAAGTTGAAAGGTTCCTTCAATTGGCCGTGTTTTAAGGAAGGGACAATATCCTTTTTGGGAGGACCACATTTGGGTTTTGTTTTTCATTGAGAAACGTAAACATTGATACAAAGCTTAATGACCTTTTGAACTTGGAAATGGGCGCAGTCTATCCAAGTTGGCAGAAATGAACATTAAGACAAATTCATTTCCTCTAGAAATGGCTAAGCGTGTGACTGTTTACTTGTTCAAATTTGTAAAGGAAGGGACATAGCTTTCCTCTCAACTTCATGTTAGTGGGTACAGAAAAGATGATTTGTCATGACTACTTGATTTTTCAAATTATTCTTCTTTCTCCAAAGTAGGAAAAAAACCTCTAATGAAATTTAGCTCCCTTGAAAATGCAATGAAATACATGCATTAGAAAATGAAAAAGCTTTGAGTCAAGTAAAAAAAATTATAAAAGCTTTATTTTTTTAACATAGAAAGCTGCAATTTAAGAATAAATTAAGGAGTTAAATATGCTGACATTTAGACTTCGAAATTGTTAGTTACTAATTTTTAAAAATAATTATATAAATCAATTGAATTAAATTTTAAATTTATAAAATTTCTTTAATGATCCTAGGGTTAAATCTTCCTTTTAAGAGATAGGTGAAATTAGTCATT